CCCCAAAACCCCAAAACCCCAAAACCCCAAAACCCCTTTTATCTTAATTCAAATTGAATATCTCTCTGTTAAAGGGAACCAGATTCTTCTTGACTATGGGCTTCGATTACAGGCATAGTTGAGAGTAGGAATTCATGCTTAAGCGCCATAGAGAGGCTCATTCTAATAGCAGCAACTGGAGGTACTTGATCTCCAAGCATATTCTGGATGAACTTCTTGGCTCTTTCTGAGTAAGGCCAATGGTCAGTTGATAGTTTACTTTCATAATTGATAATGTTGTGGAAAAGTTCAGTCTTAGACTTGCCTGTATAGGGAGTGCGAGAGGTGAGCAATTGGTAAGTGATTATGCCAATAGACCAAGTCTCACAGTTGGAAGTAAAAGAATCCTTTAAGCATTCTGGAGCATAGGATACAGGGACATTCATGTGCGATTTTAGATCATCTAATGTTAGAAAAGTTGAAGAAATGCCGTAATCAAGTAGCTATGTTCGTCAAATAAATATTTACCTTTACATGAAGAGTTTCTGGATCCACTATGAAATTTTCAATTTTAATGTCACGATGGATTACTTGATCGATGACATCTTGAGTTGATAATGAACTATTCTTTCTTTTCTTCACAAAATAATCAATTTTGATGTATTTTACGATCTTGATGATTTGGGTAATAATATCTGCAACCTGGCTTTCACTTAGACGGTTTTCCCTTTTCATGAAATGTTTGAGATTTACTCCTTCAACTACATGCCTCATGATGTATAGCTTTTCACCATCTCTATAGATTTTTGAAATTGGGTGAATTTGGGGATGTTTTAGATACTTCAAAAGCATCAGCTCTTCAATAACCTCCTTTGCATATTTCCTTAACTTCAGTAAATGTAAGGTTTTCACAAGAACTTTCTTGCCTGGCTGTCTGCATATCTCACATTTTCTAACAATTCCGAACCTTGTAACTCCTTCTACGCCTCTAATATCAAAAATCTGGTCGAAGCTGTCTTTTCTGATCTATAAAGACTTGGTTATCTTTTTGAGGTAATTGCTTCAACACATAAGTTATAACTTAACTTAGGTGGCTAAATTCGTTTGATATGTTTTGACTGCAAAATTTGAAATTCTTTCAATACTATCTCATATTGAAGATTGTTTGCCTCACCAATTCAGAGACTTGAGAGGGTTGGCTCCACTTACATTTATAACACCAAGAGCAATGCAGACCCTTGAACTTGTTATTGTCTCTATCAAGTTGTCTATATTTTAGTATAAGATTTAGACGGAGAATTGAGGGTCATTTGTATTGAATCAGGACAGTCCTTACCTTCTTTGTGGAGTCTTTCATTCAAAGTGAATCTATAGGTGAGCATGATCCTACTTTGAGTAAGAGTTTTTGAGAGGCTCACTTCTTGGACGATTCTCAGGAATTGTAGTTGTTGAAGTGGGCTCTTGTGGATCTTTGACTCAGCAATCTATGGATTAAGTAGGAATTACTTTTAGTAAGGACTGTCCCCATTTTTAGATGAAGAAGAGGAAAACTTTAATTATTTATACTTTATGAATATTATTAATACTATTTCAAGCTATTCATACCCAAACGGGGTTTTGGGGTTTTGGGGTTTTGGGGTTTTGGGG